CTCACCATGAATGATCATAGATTGTAGGACTGGCTCACCATTGGCTGGTCCATCGGCGGTCTAGCAGATAGCTGTTGACGTTTGGCCTCGGGTCGTTGCCGATGCTCTGAGTGAGCAGGTGAGGGAAGGTTTGGCAGGAAGGAATTTCAGATTGCTTGACCCCATTGGTAGTTGTCCCCCGTTAGGCTTCACCGAAACTTCTTCTGGGAACTGTGCTCTGTGTTGGAAATGCCGGTGTGAGATAGTCACTGTGGCTCATGTAGGGTGGAGCTTCCCTTTTGGGAATTTGGTATCACTGAGAACCCAGCGGATAGTTCGGTGGAACGACATGTATGAATAATTTCCAAATCGGTGGCTTTCATGGATCTTAGTCGTGGACACCGAGGAGTTTCAGCTTCTCACATCAGGGATCCGTTCTTTCTTTCTCTTGTCTTTCCTTTTGTAGTTTCCTTCTTTATTGTTTGTTTTTTTTTCCCACTTTTACAACCGTCTTTAGAGAATCGACACAGGTGAGTAACTAATTACCATTGTATTACCGGGCCACCAATCACACTCGTGCATCCCACAGAACTGGCTCCATGTCTCAGTATTTTTGTGTCCATCGGTGGTCTACTGTTGAGGTTTGGCCTCGGGGCTTTTGGTGATGCTCTGAGTGCGCCGAGGTTTTTTGTACTAGATCATAGGAAACGATAATGACGCCTCTGAATTCTGTTTTTCTGCCTGACAGTGTTGTATTGTGCCAAAGGTATCCATGGTTACTACTCCTCATTGAGAAACTCATGAATGAACAGGAAGTGATGCAAGTCACATCCTGTTCATTCATAACTGGGGACGCATAGTACTATGTAAAACGGCAAAAAGTTTTCCCGGCACACTCGCCAGCCAGCATGCAAAAAAAAAACTTGTCTCACTGCTTCTGTACAGAGTGCTACTCCTCGTTGAGAAACTCCTGAATGAACAGGAAGTGATGTAAGTCACATCCTGTTCATTCATAGCTGGGGGCGCATAGTACTATGTAAAGCAGCAAAACGTTTTCCCGGAACACTCGCCAGCCAGCATGCAAAAAAAACGTTCTAAGTTTAAAAACAGAGGTTTAGATACACGTCTTCTGCTGAAAATGTGACAGTCGCGCCAAGGCACCTCCATAGAGTGCGGTCCTAACTCTAAACTGTGAGAGTCTCTCACATGTTTTGCTTGGTTACATATTCTAACATTTTATATTTTTGTATCTGTACAAGTGTACATTGAAATAAAAAAAGATTGTATAAAAAAGAATATGACAACTGAAGTACAAAATAAAAATAGAATACTTATATATATATATATTTCTATTTTCTCATTGTTTTTAATACAATTC